ATTTTAATGGAAATTTATTAACTTATATAATAACAGCCAGCAACATAGATAATCATTATATTATCTCTAGTATATTGGTTGTTTATCATTTTTTGAATTTATGCTCCGAGCATGAACTGATCGACTTTTTATTACTTTAATTGCACACAGATTCCAGACAGTAGCATATCTTCAACAAATTTGGTGGTTTGAAGTAGTCGGAGAGTTAGAGTTCCAATTCCCCATAGGGACTTATAGTCTGTTCTTTAGACTCCAACTTGGAAAAGCCACCAAGAGACTGGGCCGTCGGATTTGTAATGTTGATCAAATCCATGGCTGGGACATAAAACCGGTACAATTCCAGCTGACAACATCGGATGGACAACACGCCGTGTCACGGTGTTTTTTGGACAATCCGGGGAACTGGGTTCATTACCACGCAGGCGATTTTGTTGTTGATCAGCCCAACGAATTGACAAAGATAAAGTTTTCTTTAACGCAGATTGATTGCACGCATACCAAAGGTGGTCTCTGCTTGGATTCTGTTCTCATATGCCCTAGTAGTTTAGGAAAAGAGCTTAGATCTTTATTGTAGGTATTGAGAACTGTAAAAATATCGTAGCGTGCAGGTTGGTTTTTCAGGGTTCTTTTTGTTTATACTCGTGTCAAGCAATCTGTATTGTTGTCTTGTCATTTTTCATTTTTCGTTTGTGAGGTTTGTGAGTTTTGCTTTGCGACATGTTCTTTTGTACAGAATTTTCCAGAAATCATGCAGTTTTAATTTTGATATGTGAAATACTACCTTCTCCAGTCTCCATGCTTCATTTTCCGGCCTTTTTTACTCTGACCACCTGTTTTTCGCTTCTCCTGGAATCGATATGGCTTTATGAAGGATATTTTGTACCGTCAACCAGGGGCGGAGGCACGTTGGGGCAGGGGGTCACGTGCTTCAGTTTTTGAAAATTACACTTCTATCCTTATTTGAAAAATAATTAATTTTTAAAATTTAAAATGTCATAATTTTTTATATTTCATCTTCTACTTTTGTTTTTGTTTTTTTATTTTTATTTTTGACAAAATCTTTGCAAAACCAGGGTTAATCTATTAGTCAAAATTTTTGTATTTTTCATTATGAAGTTAGATATTCAAATATCTCAATCTGGTTATTGATTATTGACTGTAGTTTTTTTTGTTATTTATTTATGATTTCTCTCTTAATTTTGAAATTATTTATTTATATTAGTTATATGGTGAATTGATTTTCATCATGATTATAATTCATTAGTTTCGTTATAACATGATTCATTAATTAAAAATAAAATACAATTTTTTTGTAATTTGTCACTATAAATATTTAATTTTAGTAAAATATATTTTTTAAATTCTATATTATTTCTCTCTTTTCTCTCATGTTTTTCTTTTCCACTCTTTTTTTTTTGGGGGGTGTATTTTGGTGTAATTTTATCATTCTCATTTTTAATAATAGCATGTGATCGCATTTTAAATTACAATGATCATTATGTTCACAAAACTAAAATAGCAAATTATATTAATAATAAATAAACAACAAAAAATCAAAAAGACAAAGCAAAAAAACTAATTAACTTGAGCATAACCTTAAAATTTTAAATATAAAATTATGTTCATTTTTAGTCGTTTTACTCTCAATTAAGAATCAAAATTACTTACATTATGATAGATCTCTATAATCTTAACTCAATATTACTCTTCCTAAATTAAAATCCTCACTCGGCTACTGCGGCGAGCCCTAGCTTATGAGCCCTGTATTGTAAGAAATTAGGACAATGTATCTCTTGCTAGCATAGTGAATGAGATTGTTACTTCCAGTTCTTTGGTTCCTTGTGAAGTTTTTGGCAAAGGAACTAGAAACTAATCGATGGCCTGGGAGGGGCTGTCTGATCTGCCTACTGGGTTGTTTGAGTGTTCTAAATGAGTGCATTTTTTGTCTTTTTAGACTAAAAAGTTAAGGTTGAAAATATGAATGTTTGGATTAACTTTTTGACTTTTTATGAAAAAATGTGTATTAAAAATTTGTATAAATTAATGTGTAGAGGACAATTAGTATTGAGAATTGTGCAACTGTAATTGTTGACTTTTGATGAATAGTAATAACTTTTTAACTTTTTAAATAACATTTTGACTTTTTAACTTTTTTAAGACTTTCCAAACTTGGTCTAAGTTGACCCAATAATCTATATAATTATTCTTTGAGTAGTAACGAGGTTAAGGCTCTGTGTTTGAGTTGATAGAACGATTCCAACCTTTTTGTTATAATCTAATTTAGGATTGTTTTGAGAAATTTATTAAAAGATGATTTTTTAATTTTTTTCTTTTACTTTATTTGAAAAATATGTAAAATAATAAAAAAAACTGATATAATTTAAAATAAATTTTAATCATCTTTTCAAAAAGAAACCTTACAACTTTCTGACGTCTTATAGTAGGCATAATTATTTTTTTATTTTATTTTTGAAAAAGCTGCCTCTACTTAACCAGGATTGTGGATGTAGGTTAGGCCATTGCCTCTGTTTGGTACTGTTTATTGGAACTATATATATATAAGAATTTTTTTGTGCCTTGTATATGGTATGTAAGGTATTTACACATTTCTATTTTATTTTTATATTTTTTATGTATTGAGTTATATAAAAATATTTGAAAACAAGCACATTGGTGACCTGCTCACTTTCTAGGTAAATGAATAAAAGAATATATTATATGACTAAAAGTGTAAATTGTCACAAAATATGTAAATAATTTCACAAAATGTGTAAATTTTTACAGAAGGTATAAATTTTAACAAAAGACGTAAGTAATTTCAGGAAAATGCGTAAATGATTTTTGAAAACTTACGCCTTTTGTGAAAACTTACAACTTTTGTGAGAACTTATACTTTTTTGTGAAAGTACTTACATTTTTCTAACAACTTACACCTTTTGTAAAATTGCTTACCAAAGGTGTAACTATATAATTATTCTTTGAGTAGTAACGAGGTTAAGGCTCTGTGTTTGAGTTGATAGAACGATTCCAACCTTTTGGTTATAATTTAATTTAGGATTGTTTTGAGAAATTTATTAAAAGATGATTTTTTAATTTTTTTCTTTTACTTTATTTGAAAAATATGTAAAAAAAACAAAAAAAAAAACTGATGTATTTTAAAATAAATTAAAAATTAAAAATTAATTTCTAAACATCTTTTCAAAAAGAAGCCTTACAACTTTCTGACGTCTTATAGTAGGCATAATTATTTTTTTATTTTATTTTTGAAAAAGCTGCCTTTACTTAACCAGGATTGTGGATGTAGGTTAGGCCATTGCCTCTGTTTGGTACTGTTTATTGGAACTATATACATATAAGAATTTTTTTTTAAGTGTGCCTTGTATATGGTATGCAAGGTATTTATACATTTCTATTTTACTTTTACACTTTTTATATATTGAGTTATATAAAAATATTTGAAAATAAGCACATTGGTGACCTGCTAAGCAGGTCACTTTCTAGGTAAATGAATAAAAGAATATATTATATGACTAAAAGTGTAAATTGTCACAAAATATGTAAATAATTTCACAAAATGTGTAAATTTTTACAGAAGGTATAAATTTTAACAAAAGACGTAAGTAATTTCAGGAAAATGCGTAAATGATTTTTGAAAACTTACGCCTTTTGTGAAAACTTACAACTTTTGTGAGAACTTACACTTTTTTGTGAAAGTACTTACATTTTTCTAACAACTTACACCTTTTGTAAAATTGCTTACCAAAGGTGTAACTTTTGACAACTTACAGATAATACTTACATCTTTTGTAAAAAAAAATTATACCTTTTCTGAAAGTTACACCATATGTGAAAAAATTTATTTCATAAAATTTTGACAACTTACACATAATACTTACATCTTTTGTAAAAAAAAGTTATACCTTTTCTGAAAGTTACACCATATGTGAAAAATTTTATTTCATAAAATTTTTGACAACTTACACATAATACTTACATCTTTTGTAAAACAAGTTATACATTTTCTGAAAGTTACACCATATGTGAAAAATTTTATTTCCTAAAATTTTGACAACTTACACATAATACTTACATCTTTTGTAAAACAAGTTATACATTTTCTAAAAATTTACACCATATGTGAAAAAATTTATTCATAAAATTTTGACAACTTACACATAATACTTATATTTTTTGTAAAACAAGTTATACTTTTTCTGAAAGTTACACCATATGTGAAAAATTTTATTTCAAAAATTTTGACAACTTACACATAATACTTACGTCTTTTGTAAAACCTTTTCTGAAAAGTTACACTATATGTGAAAAATTTTATTTCATAAAACTTTGACAACTTACACATAATACTTACATCCTTTGTAAAACAAGTTATATTTTTTATGAAATAATTTTTAGAAAAGTTACACTTTTTCTGAAAAAAATTATGACACAAAAGGAGTAACTTTTCAGAAAAGATTCCACGAAAATGTGTAAATTTTCAGAAAAAGTGTAAGTTTTAAGAAAATATATAAATTTTATGAAAGAAATTATTTCACAAAAAGCGTAACTTTTCAGAATTAGTGTAAGTTATTTCACAAAAGATGTAAGTAAGTTAACAAAAGGTGTAAGTTTCATTTTTACAAAATGTATAAATTTTATGAAAAAATTTATTTCACAAAAGGAGTAACTTTTCAGAAAAGATATAAATATTTCTACAAAAATATGTACATTTTTAGAAAAAGTGTAAATTTTAACAAAATGTATAAATTTTATGAAAGAAATTATTTCACAAAATGGATAATCTTTCAAAAATTGTGTAAGTTATTTCCCAATAGATATAAGTAGCTTAAGTTTTGTTTTTAGTGTAAGTTCCACTAAAAGTGTAAATTTTATAAAAAAATTATTTCAGAGAAGGAGTAATTTTCAGAAAATCTGTCGATCTTGGTCTCTCTGTCGATCTCTGTCTCTTCTTTATCGATCTCTGTCTCTTCTTTATCGATCTCTGTCTCTCTCTCTCTGTCGATCTCCGCCGATCTCTGTCTGTCTCTCTCTGCCGATCTCTCTCTGTCGATCGCCCCCCAAACGCTTCGTCTCTCTCCGGAATTCTAGAGAGAGAAACACCAAGCCCTCCCAAATGCCTCTTATCGCACACATTGCCATTATTTGAACAACAACACAAATACAGTTTGATTCGATTGTAGGAGCTCTTCGCAATTTTCATTCCTCTCTTTCTCTACTCGAAAACATCAACAGATCTGGACTTGGGTAACTTCTTAGCTCCAATTCGATCAGGTTTGATATCTTCTTTTCCCTTTTAGATCTGGGTTTGCTTTAATTCCGAATTGTAGTGATTGATCGATTGTTTCAGATGTGGGTTTGATTCGTTCTCGGGTTTTTGAGCTCAGATTTAGCTATATTAATCATTTCTGTGATCATTTTCATTCATTGATCGTCTCATTTTTTTTGTTTGATATGTTAATATGGGAATTAGATTTGTTAATTACTTGACTTACTGAGAATGTGTTAAATGGTTATGAGAATATTTTACAATAGCATCCAGATAACTGATTTTAAATTTTCCATCATTTCAGTGACCAAGTAGCAGTTGGCCGTGCACTTGATCTTCTTGTGTACTTTGGTGAAACTGGTAGTTGAGAGGTATAGATGATCCTGCTCAAACTTAAATATGCTTTGTGCAGGTTCATTGTTTGACATGTTGCTTGTATTCGTGGCCACCAGGTGCTCCATAAAGTTGGTGTTGAAGGAGCATGTGCAACAACAATAACTTTAGATACCCCCGGTGCAAACTATAGAACAGTGTGGGCTTTGAGCAAGTATTTCCTTAATGTAAAGACATTTGTCCGTGCTCATGACGTTGATCATGGCCTCAATTTGGAAAAGGTGGGAGCAATAGCGTTACATTTCTGTTGCTGTTTTCATTAGTTATTTTAGTCTTCCTAATTGCCTATATAGGTTAATCTTACAATTTTATTTTAGGATTATGTTTTAGGAGCTCATTATTCTTGTTTGACTTGTGTATAAATCTTTAATCAGTACTAATATATCTTGCATTAGCTATATAAAGATCAAATATTTGTTCAAATTACATCATATCTTGAGTTTTAGTTGAAACTCTTATAGGTTGTCCCCGAGACGTTCGAACCTAGTCTCCAACTATCTGCTGCTGTTCTTACACAAGTAAAAAATAGTATCGATGACACTGAATTGTATAAGATTTTTCACTGCATGTGCTTTGTATGTTGTTTGTATTTAGTACATACTGCGTAAGTTATATTGACGAATACTATTTTCCTTTTTTTGCTGAGCATCGGAAATTGGTTGCATGCATGTACTGCGGAGTCGGATTGTAACAAATCATAAGGAAGCTGAATATTATTTCCATTGAATTTGTCACTCACCATGCTATGCTAGTATGCAATGTAATTGATCAATTTTTGGATTAACATTCCATAAAATCACTGTAAGATTAATCGCTTTTTGGTACAATCTTAATGATTACAGTGCATCTTATTGGATATTTTAATTTGAATTAGTGACTTGCTACATGCTTACCTTGAGTCTCAATTCAACTATTTGTGTACACCATTTTCATTATTGAGCACCTGTTTTATGTCCATGCTGGTTCTTTGATTGAAAAGCAGAAGCGGCTGTTGTTTCTCCGAAGTGTTTTGTGATTTATACGATATAATTTCACTTTCACGTGACACACACACACACACACACACACACACAGACGCATTTGACTCGGTTAACACATTGAAAACTGAAGGCATTTGGATCTGATTTTGTCGGTCCACCAGCTGCAATGCAGCAACTCAAACTCTTGTTACTGTTGTTGGTTGATGCTTTCTTGTGAAATTATTAGCATGTGCTATGGAAAGTCAAAAACATTATAGAAGCTTGGTTATTTGGTTTGGCATCTTTCGAATGTTCTTTATCTTGTTTTTCTCTGTTAGGCTAAACTGCTCATGTCACAAATAGTAGCTACTATCAACGAGTTTAGGTCCCGCCATCTTTTTGAGCTTTCCACAATTCGGTTAGTCTTGTTAGTATAGGCCCAAAGATATACATACATATATATATATATATTTTGACTGAGTTACCACAATCAAATATTGCATGCAGCTCTCTGAAGCAAGTGGAAGCTGTCTCGGTTATGGATACTCTCGGATCATGAGTAAACCCAAATCTCAACCCTCTGATTCTTCAGATGATAATCAAATCACTGAAGGAACACTGGTAATATAACCCATCACCCAAAGATAAGAATTGACATAATAATATTAAAAAACAGATCACAAAGAATTGTACAGCAGTTTACTTGAACCCTTTGGTATAAATTGTATAGAAATATAGCTGAATTAGTGGTAATAGCAGACACATTTGTTAATTAGTCACATGCACATTTTTGTTCTGATAATGCCCCGTACGTGAAAGGGGCGACTGTTCTTTTTCTTTCGTCAATCGTATTCCGATCTGATAAATTTTTGTAGGCCCTCATAAAACTGTCTAAAAGGACTTTCTTGTCTCACTAATCACATTGCATTCCATAATCTTAGAGTACTTTCTTAGCTGTTAGTTTTGATCATACTGTATAATGAAAATGGTCAAAATGATATGATGTTACATATGGAGAAACTGTTTTTGTGAGAAAATGTGTAGATTCATGGATTGGCTGTTAGTTTTGATCATGCTCACGCTGTAACTCCTGTGTGTGGGTTGTGGTGGTGTTTGTTGAGAACAAAATACTTGAAATGTTGAATTTTTTTTTCTTCCTGTAAGCCTCTATTCCGATGTTACAAATACTTAACCTCTTGATGCCTTAATTTCAGCTATTTTTATTTTTTTATTTTATGAACCAGTGTATTTTTCCTAATTTGTTGATCAGCTCACGCTGTAACTCCTGTGTGTGTGTGTTGTTGTGGTTTTTGTTGAGAACAAAATACTTGAAATGCTGAAATTTTTTCCTTCATATAAACCTCTATTTGGATGTTACAAATACTTAACCTCTTGATGCCTTAATTTCAGAGGAGCAAAAACCTTAGTTTCAAATTTATAAGGTTCACCATTCACATAATAAGATTTAAAAACGAAAGAGAAGACAATATGCTTCAAGGAGATATTTGTCTTCATGTGGGAACTATTTCCCATCCATTTTGCTCAAAAAACACTAAAGGCTCACGAGAAAAACAAAACTTCCGGCACACACTCCAATCCGAGCTGATTTTGAACTTCCTAACTAAGTTCTTCAGTTCTTCAACTTCACGCTTCTATCTAGGGTTGAGGTGAAGAAATACAGTAAAGTCAACAAGCCCAGGCAATTCATCAAGAAAATCTCCTTTGTAGAAATGGAGAACCTTACCTGTCATTTCACGCATGTCTTGAATGACAGTTACCTTTCTCTTGAAATTCTCATATTTCTGTAGTGCTTGCTCTACTGATTCATAGAACACATTGTCCAAGCCCTTTGCCTTCACATGCTTCATTACGCTCGGCACTCTACTCAAGATCTGCCTCATAATTGTGCGAGAAGTATCCAGCCTCAAGAATTTCTGAATTGTTTGTTGTAGTCAAAATTGCTAAGACTGGTCACAATGCATGTCACAATGAAAACAAGTTCAGAATTAAAATCATGTGTATTAGGCTTTATGAGTATCTTATGAATACTTGAGATGATCTGGTTATTTCATTTTTCATTTTTTATTTTTGCATTTGTTGGTTTTTTCATTTTTCATTTGCTGGTTTTTGCAAAATAGACAATTATCCTTTTCAATCTAAATTGAGGGAGACAATACATAAACATGGTTCTCGAATGTCCATGTGTTATTTTCCTAACATTCAGTGCTATGCTGCATGATGTCGTTGGTACATTATTTGCAACCTTGTTATGTTATGGTTTCATGCTGCAGGTTGTTGAGGCTGCTAAGATTGCAGCAATTAGCATTGTGGATATGCAGAATGTGGTTGAGGAGGACTCAGAATCTTCGAAGGAGGATGATATGGAAGGATCTGCAGTTCAAGGAGAAGTGAAGATGAGAATGATAAACAGCATAAGGTTGCTTTGGATAAATTGGAGAAGGTTAGTGAAGATACAATCCTTGGCTAGGCATGTCACAAATATGAGAATTTAAATAAATTGTATCTTGGGTTTGTCTTTTCTTGGATTTTAGAGGTGCATAATTTCCTTATTCATACCCTCCATATTTGTTTACAGAGGTCATTCAACCTTTAAATTCTCTCTCCCTAAACTTGTGTTGGTCTCATCAATCCATGATTATGGGAGGATGGACTGTGTATTGATTTAGGCTTTTCTTTTTTTTTTTTTTTTTGCCTGTCCTTAGATTTCTATCTCATTCTTTTTCT